ATCGCAAAATGCGCTTGACCGCCATCCAATGCTCGACTTGGAGGTTTTCCATGAAGCGCGAAACGTAACTCACAGCAAAGGCAATGTCCGGTCGTGCCGCGGTCATCAAGTGCATTAAAGCGCCTACTGCTTCACAAAACGGGGCGTCGATTTTGGTTACTGCACTGCTTGGTATGAGTCAAGAACTGATGTCTGTTGGGCTGGTGACGGCTTTGCAGTCGCTCATGCCAAAACGCTTGAGAACATCTTCCACGTAGCGTCGCTGGCACATCGTCACGCTACCACTGTCGTTGTCCACCAGCTCGATGCCCAACACGAATGCGCACTTGCCGCTGTCAGTCATTTCGAAACGCGCCTTCAAGTCACTCTTGGTGCGCATAATCAGTTCGGTCGAGCTGCCAGTCACCAACACATCATCGACGTATACCAGCAAAAGCACGCACTCGCCACTTGTAATCTTGAGATAAAGACACGGGTCAAAATCGGATACTTGGAATCCAATGGAGCAGACGAACTCATGGAAATTCTCGTTCCATACTCGCGATGCTTGTTTTAGTCCGTAGATCGCCTTCAACAATTCGAAGCAGTCAAAGTCTTCATCAACTTCGACCCCTTCTGGGATCGCGCAGAATACCTTTTCCTTCATCTCTCCGCATAGCAAAGCTGTCACCACGTCCAGTAGGTCCAGTGTCCAGTCAAAGTACTTCGTGATTGCAACTACCATGCGCAGCGTCACGTACTTGACTACCGGAAAAACGTCTCCGTGTAGTCGATGCCATATTTCTGCTTGAACCCTTTTGCCACGAGACGCGCCTTGTATTTCTCGATAGATCCATCAGCTTTCCGCTTGATATTGAATACCCACTTGGTGCCAATGGTATGCTGTCCAGCTGGCTGTTTGGGCGCTCGAAGCACGCCACGAAGTTTCATCGAGTCCAACTCGGCACAGATAGCTTTACGCCAATGCACTTGATCCGGTCCATCAACAGCATCTTTAAACGTTGTCGGCTCAGACAAGTCAGTACCTTCGACTGCGTTGACACTCGCTCGCCAAAAGACTTGAGGTGTAGCATCCTCGTTATCTTCGTCACTGCCCTTTCGCTCTTCGTCCAGATTGGCTCGAGCGCTTGACCGTCGCTTCGCTTGGTGCGTTTCAAAGTCATCCGGTGCACTTGCTTCTTCGAACCCGGTTCCACGACGCTCAGGAAGTGTCCGTTGCAGAGCTTGTTCTTGGCTGTTTGAACGGCTTTTGCGTTTTCCAGTTTTCTTGAACTGCATAGGGTGAGGCTCATCGCTGATGTTCATCGATTCGACATCCAGCGCAGTGTCATCAACAATTTCTTGTGGTAGCGTCGGCGAGAAACCAAACGTTGATTCGTCGAATGTGACATCGCGAGATATCACCACTTGATCCGCTTCAATGTCGTAAACGCGATATGCCTTTGACACTTCTTCGTACCCCATGAATCGTCCTTCACGATCCTTTGGATCCCATTTCGATCTCTTTTCCTCAGGGGTCAGCACAAACGTTCGGCAGCCGAAAACCCGCACGTGCTTCACACTTGGTCGAAATCCGTTGACAATCTCGAACGGGGTTTAATCTTGGCACTTGGGCGATGGTAGGCGATTCTTGATGTAGATCGCCGTCATTGCTGCTTCAACTCAAAAAAACTTGTCCAGCTTGGCGTAGTGAAGCATGCTGCGCCCGATCGTCACAATGGTCCGAATTGCCCGTTCCGCCGTGCCGTTGGTCTGATGCGCATATGGAACGGTAACTTGCTGCTCGATTCGTTGATCATCGTAAAATGCCTTGAGCGAATTTGCCGCGGATTCGCGTGCACCATCGTGGCGAACGAACTTGACCTTGTAGTCAAACTGCGTCTGTACTGCCACGATGTACTTCTTGATGCACTCTTCGCTGTCAGACGTGGCGCGCAGACTGAAACCCTTCATGCATCCGCTGCCTTCATCTACGGTCAGTAGCAAGTACTTGCTTCCACCTAGCGAGTCGACTTCCATTGGACCACAAGAGTCGATGTGCTTGGCCCGACCATGGTTCACAGGATTCTTCGTCATCTTGATGCACGATTGGTTGTCTTCCATGATCTTGAGCTCGGGTCCAGACTTGTCCTCTGCGGCATCCAGAATCTCGCATGGCAATCGATGCACCCACTTGCCTTCTTGAATAGCCAGACTTAATGCAATGCACTCAGCTTCACTTGTTGACAGCGACACACTTGACTGCTTTTTGCTTCCCCAGCTCACCGGATCACCCATCAGGATGAGCGCATATCTCGAAGTCGACTTGCGGTCTGCATGGTCGCCGGCCCAGTCTGCATCCGAGTAGCCGCAGAAGTCTATCTTGTCATCAGACTTGAAACAGATGCCGTCCGACTTAGTCCCTTGTAAGTATCGCAAAATGCGCTTGACCGCCATCCAATGCTCGACTTGGAGGTTTTCCATGAAGCGCGAAACGTAACTCACAGCAAAGGCAATGTCCGGTCGTGTCGCGGTCATCAAGTGCATTAAAGCGCCTACTGCTTCACAAAACGGGGCGTCGATTTTGGTTACTGCACTGCTTGGTATGAGTCAAGAACTGATGTCTGTTGGGCTGGTGACGGCTTTGCAGTCGCTCATGCCAAAACGCTTGAGAACATCTTCCACGTAGCGTCGCTGGCATATCGTCACGCTACCGTTGTCGTTGTACACCATCTCGATGCCCAACACGAATGCGCACTTGCCGCTGTCAGTCATTTCGAAACGCGCCTTCAAGTCACTCTTGGTGCGCATAATCAGTTCGGTCGAGCTGCCAGTCACCAACACATCATCGACGTATACCAGCAAAAGCACGCACTCGCCACTTGTAATCTTGAGATAAAGACACGGGTCAAAATCGGATACTTGGAATCCAATGGAGCAGACGAACTCATGGAAATTCTCGTTCCATACTCGCGATGCTTGTTTTAGTCCGTAGATCGCCTTCAACAATTCGAAGCAGTCAAAGTCTTCATCAACTTCGACCCCTTCTGGGATCGCGCAGAATACCTTTTCCTTCATCTCTCCGCATAGCAAAGCTGTCACCACGTCCAGTAGGTCCAGTGTCCAGTCAAAGTACTTCGTGATTGCAACTACCATGCGCAGCGTCACGTACTTGACTACCGGAAAAACGTCTCCGTGTAGTCGATGCCATATTTCTGCTTGAACCCTTTTGCCACGAGACGCGCCTTGTATTTCTCGATAGATCCATCAGCTTTCCGCTTGATATTGAATACCCACTTGGTGCCAATGGTATGCTGTCCAGCTGGCTGTTTGGGCGCTCGAAGCACGCCACGAAGTTTCATCGAGTCCAACTCGGCACAGATAGCTTTACGCCAATGCACTTGATCCGGTCCATCAACAGCATCTTTAAACGTTGTCGGCTCAGACAAGTCAGTACCTTCGACTGCGTTGACACTCGCTCGCCAAAAGACTTGAGGTGTAGCATCCTCGTTATCTTCGTCACTGCCCTTTCGCTCTTCGTCCAGATTGGCTCGAGCGCTTGACCGTCGCTTCGCTTGGTGCGTTTCAAAGTCATCCGGTGCACTTGCTTCTTCGAACCCGGTTCCACGACGCTCAGGAAGTGTCCGTTGCAGAGCTTGTTCTTGGCTGTTTGAACGGCTTTTGCGTTTTCCAGTTTTCTTGAACTGCATAGGGTGAGGCTCATCGCTGATGTTCATCGATTCGACATCCAGCGCAGTGTCATCAACAATTTCTTGTGGTAGCGTCGGCGAGAAACCAAACGTTGATTCGTCGAATGTGACATCGCGAGATATCACCACTTGATCCGCTTCAATGTCGTAAACGCGATATGCCTTTGACACTTCTTCGTACCCCATGAATCGTCCTTCACGGGCCTTTGGATCCCATTTCGATCTCTTTTCCTCAGGGGTCAGCACAAACGTTCGGCAGCCGAAAACCCGCACGTGCTTCACACTTGGTCGAAATCCGTTGACAATCTCGAACGGGGTTTAATCTTGGCACTTGGGCGATGGTAGGCGATTCTTGATGTAGATCGCCGTCATTGCTGCTTCAACTCAAAAAAACTTGTCCAGCTTGGCGTAGTGAAGCATGCTGCGCCCGATCGTCACAATGGTCCGAATTGCCCGTTCCGCCGTGCCGTTGGTCTGATGCGCATATGGAACGGTAACTTGCTGCTCGATTCGTTGATCATCGTAAAATGCCTTGAGCGAATTTGCCGCGGATTCGCGTGCACCATCGTGGCGAACGAACTTGACCTTGTAGTCAAACTGCGTCTGTACTGCCACGATGTACTTCTTGATGCACTCTTCGCTGTCAGACGTGGCGCGCAGACTGAAACCCTTCATGCATCCGCTGCCTTCATCTACGGTCAGTAGCAAGTACTTGCTTCCACCTAGCGAGTCGACTTCCATTGGACCACAAGAGTCGATGTGCTTGGCCCGACCATGGTTCACAGGATTCTTCGTCATCTTGATGCACGATTGGTTGTCTTCCATGATCTTGAGCTCGGGTCCAGACTTGTCCTCTGCGGCATCCAGAATCTCGCATGGCAATCGATGCACCCACTTGCCTTCTTGAATAGCCAGACTTAATGCAATGCACTCAGCTTCACTTGTTGACAGCGACAAACTTGACTGCTTTTTGCTTCCCCAGCTCACCGGATCACCCATCAGGATGAGCGCATATCTCGAAGTCGACTTGCGGTCTGCATGGTCGCCGGCCCAGTCTGCATCCGAGTAGCCGCAGAAGTCTATCTTGTCATCAGACTTGAAACAGATGCCGTCCGACTTAGTCCCTTGTAAGTATCGCAAAATGCGCTTGACCGCCATCCAATGCTCGACTTGGAGGTTTTCCATGAAGCGCGAAACGTAACTCACAGCAAAGGCAATGTCCGGTCGTGCCGCGGTCATCAAGTGCATTAAAGCGCCTACTGCTTCACAAAACGGGGCGTCGATTTTGGTTACTGCACTGCTTGTTATGATTCAAGAACTAATGTCTGTTGGGCTGGTGACGGCTTTGCAGTCGCTCATGCCAAAACGCTTGAGAACATCTTCCACGTAGCGTCGCTGGCACATCGTCACGCTACCACTGTCGTTGTCCACCAGCTCGATGCCCAACACGAATGCGCACTTGCCGCTGTCAGTCATTTCGAAACGCGCCTTCAAGTCACTCTTGGTGCGCATAATCAGTTCGGTCGAGCTGCCAGTCACCAACACATCATCGACGTATACCAGCAAAAGCACGCACTCGCCACTTGTAATCTTGAGATAAAGACACGGGTCAAAATGAGATACTTGGAATCCAATGGAGCAGACGAACTCATGGAAATTCTCGTTCCATACTCGCGATGCTTGTTTTAGTCCGTAGATCGCCTTCAACAATTCGAAGCAGTCAAAGTCTTCATCAACTTCGACCCCTTCTGGGATCGCGCAGAATACCTTTTCCTTCATCTCTCCGCATAGCAAAGCTGTCACCACGTCCAGTAGGTCCAGTGTCCAGTCAAAGTACTTCGTGATTGCAACTACCATGCGCAGCGTCACGTACTTGACTACCGGAAAACGTCTCCGTGTAGTCGATGCCATATTTCTGCTTGAACCCTTTTGCCACGAGACGCGCCTTGTATTTCTCGATAGATCCATCAGCTTTCCGCTTGATATTGAATACCCACTTGGTGCCAATGGTATGCTGTCCAGCTGGCTGTTTGGGCGCTCGAAGCACGCCACGAAGTTTCATCGAATCCAAATCGGCACAGATAGCTTTACGCCAATGCACTTGATCCGGTCCATCAACAGCATCTTTAAACGTTGTCGGCTCAGACAAGTCAGTACCTTCGACTGCGTTGACACTCGCTCGCCAAAAGACTTGAGGTGTAGCATCCTCGTTATCTTCGTCACTGCCCTTTCGCTCTTCGTCCAGATTGTTGAAAAGACAGCGGCTGTAAAGAAGACACCTCGTCAAGCTGCGTCAAGTGTTGAAGCAAGTGGAAGACCAAGCCTCGCTATACCGGTGGGTACCGGTATGTACCAGTAAGGGCGAAGTCAGGAAATGACGTCACTGGATGACGTCATTGCATGACGTCAGTGGGTGACGTCAGTGGGTGACGTCACTGGATGACGTCACTGCGAATAATAGGCTTAGAGGTAGTATTCAAAGTTGCGAACTAAGTACCTATTATAAATATATATTCACTTTGCGTTTTGCACTCGGACCAAGAAGTCTAAAGTTCATCAGGTTATGAGCCCAAGTTCGTCAGACTCTGAAACCGCCAACAATTCAAGCTTAGCTGCCATGGACGCCTCCTCCCTCCGCATCTCCAAGTTCGATGGAACTAACTTCCATGCCTGGAAGTTCAAGATGCAGATGGTGCTGGAGGAACGGGACCTATGGGAGGTCGTCAGCGGTGAGATCAAGGCGGAACAGTGCGAGACTCAGTTGGACCAAGCGACGTACAAGAGGAAGTCAAGAAAGGCGATGGCAGTGATCTGTCTAGCCATGGAAGATTCCCAGCTACCGTTGGTCCGGTCGGCAAGTGGTGCATGCGACGCATGGTCAAGGTTGGAAGACCACTTCGAGAAGAAGAGTCTTGCCAACAAGCTGTTCTTGCGCCGTCGCTTCTTCACGACAATGATGGAAGAAGGCGACGATGTGCTCGAACACATCAACAAGCTCAAGACGCTGGCGGAACAGCTAGAAGCGGTGGGGGCTCCAGTCTGCGAGGACGATCTGGTGATCACACTCCTCGGCAGCCTGAGTGACTCGTATCAATTCTTGATCACAGCTTTGGAGTCGCGCTCAGACACTCTTAGCTGGGAGCTCGTGACGTCTCGACTGCTTCATGAAGAAATGAAGCGGAAGGAGCAAGGAAGTAAAGGTGATGAAGCTTCGCAAGGTCAAGCGTTCATCACAAGGGACAATCAGCGCAAAGGGCGACCAGTGAAGAAGTCCTGGCCGTGCCACAATTGCGGAAAGATTGGTCACTGGATGGCGGAGTGCCCCTCGCGCATCCAAGAAAACACGGAGAGACACCGGCCACAGCGTGCTCAAGACAGCGGCGACCGCTATCGATCACAACGTGCAAACGTCGCTCAAGAAGAAGACTCGGGCGACTACCTCTTTTCGATCGGTGAAACGACATCTGCGAAATCGAGCGACATCTGGCTGGTCGACTCCGGGGCGACGCAGCACATGACGTGCTCCAAGAAGTTCATGCGGAACTACAAGGGGTTTGACGCTGTGGATGTCCATCTCGCGGATGATGGAATCGTCCAAGCAATCGGCAGTGGGGACATTGTCATGTCGATGAAGACACCCCAAGGGATGAAGAAAGGTGTGCTCACAAACGTGTGGCACATCCCAAAGTTATCCAGAAACCTGTTCTCGGTCGGCCGCTTCACCAAGGATGTCGGCCCAGTGACGTTCACGAAGGATGGGTGCTATGGAGAAGCGAAAGGGACCAAGTGGAAAATTGGTGCCCGTGAAGGTAAAGGACTGTTCAAGCTGCAAATGACTCCAGTGGCGCCGGAACAAGCAAATGCAGCCAAGTCGTCGGGATGTCAAGGGGGCACCAAGTCGTACCTCTGGCACCTTCGGCTTGGCCACATAGGTCACGATGGACTCAATTGCATCGTGACGAAGAACATTGGAATTGGCATCGACATATCTTCGGTGAAGAAGTGGGACGTGTGTGAAGGTTGTGCTCTGGGAAAACAGACTCGAGTGCGCTTCCAATCAAACACTACAGCTCGCACCTCCAAACTCCTCGAAGTGATTCACAGCGACGTATGCGGACCGATGTCGATGGCAACTTTCAGTGGAAAACGGTACTTCGTGACATTCATTGATGACAAGTCAAGATACTGTGTCGTCTATCTGCTCAAGAGCAAATCTGAAGTTGCGGCGAAGTTCATGGAATACGCTGCGATGGCCGAAACGCAAACCGGAAAGCGCGTGAAGTACCTTCAAAGCGACAATGGGGGTGAATACAAGTCCGACAAGCTGGCACGATTCTGCGCGGAACGGGGAATACAACAAAGGTTCACACCCCCATATACTCCTCAGCTAAACGGAGTAGCTGAGAGAATGAATCGCACGCTGGTCGAGTGTGCGCGTTGCATGATGGAACACGCTGGACTGGGGAAAGAGCTACTGGGGTGAAGCAGTGATGACGGCGATGTTTCTTCGAAACCGCTGTCCAACACGTGCCATTCACCAAGACAAGTCTCCATATCAAGTGTGGACGATGAAGAAACCGATTCTGGCCAACCTTAAAGTGTTTGGATGCCACGCGTATGTTCAAGTGCCTCAAGACAAACGCGCGAAGTTCGACTCCAAGTCATCACTCTGTCGTTTCCTGGGATACGCCGAACACCAGAAGTCATATCGATTTGAGGAAGTGTCAACAGGAGCGATCAAGATCAGTCGCGATGCCACATTCATGGAAGACAAGTTTGATGAAGGTCCGCGCAACTACAACGATGAGTCAAGTGTCGTTGAGTTTGATGATCATGATGAGGACGAAGAAAAAGAAGAAGGTAAAACTGACGACGACATGGACTCGAGCGACGATGACAACGAAGACACCAGGTCTTCGAAGAGCAACATCAAGAGACACACGCGCACTCAATCACTTGAGAAAGCTACCGTCATTCCAAGTCCCAAGCGAAGAACATACAGAGGTCCGTCGCTTGAGCATGTGTCAGCGGCTGCAATGGATTTTGAAGCAGCCTACATCGTTGATTCAGTGGGGAAACGCCGACTACATTCAAGTCGGCGATGGAATCAAGCGACTCCGGCAAGTGGAAAGAAGCGTGTGACTCGGAGTTCGACTCGCTTCAGAGAAACGACACGTGGGAAATCGTGCCTCTTCCGAAAGGTCGCAAGGCCATCGGGTGCCGATGGGTTTTTCGTGTAAAGGAGAATCAAGATGGCGAAGTTGAACGTTTCAAGGCAAGACTTGTGGCCAAAGGATTCTCACAGAAATTCGGAGTTGACTATGAAGAAACTTTCGCACCGGTGGCCAAGTTCACATCGATTCGTGTGGTGCTCAGTATGGCGGCTAAGTACGGCCTGATGCTACATCAGATGGACGTCAAGACAGCGTTTCTTAACGGCTCCCTCAACGAAGACATCTACATGGACCAGCCGGACGGATACCTGGATGCAACACAGCCGGACTATGTGTGCAAGCTAAAGAGATCACTCTACGGCTTGAAGCAATCGCCTCGCATGTGGAACCAAACAATCGATGGGTTCATGATCAAGATGGGATTCAAGAAGTGCGAATCGGACCACTGCATCTACATCAAGCGAGACGACCAAGACATGATTCTCGTGGTACTCTACGTCGATGATCTCATCCTGGCCAGCAGCAACAACGAACTCCTCAAGTCAACCAAGATGGCGCTGAGCAAACGCTTCGAAATGACGGATCTCGGTGAGCTCGATTACTTTCTCGGCATGGAGATCAAGAACGACCGTAAGACGGGAATGGTGACTGTACAACAAACCAAGTTCCTCAAGTCCGTGTTAACCAAGTTCGGAATGGATAACAGCAAGCCAGTGAAGACGCCTCAAGATCCCGGCCTGAAGCTAACCAAGAACATGTGTGAACAAGAATGCAAGCACGAAGACACCATGTGCAACGTGCCATATCGAAGTGCTGTCGGAGGCATCATGTATCTCATGGTCGCCACACGTCCGGATCTAGCTGCTGCAGTGGGATCATTATCCCAGTTCTCGTCCGACCCATGCCCGACTCACTGGCAAGCTTTGAAGCGTGTGCTGAGATACCTGCAAGCAACGCCCAATCATGGTCTTGAGTTTACACGTGAAGAAGGAAGCCGTATCTGCGGGTACACCGACGCAGACTGGGCCGGCGACATTGAGTCAAGACGAAGTACAAGCGGCTATGTGTTCATGATGAGCGGAGGATGCATCAGCTGGAAAAGCCAGAAACAACGGACGGTCGCGCTATCTTCAACAGAAGCAGAATACATGGCGCTTTCCGAAGCAACCAAAGAAGCAGTATGGCTCAAAGTGCTTTTGGGGGAACTTGGTGAGATGACAAGCGACGAAGCGATCAAGATGTATGAAGACAACCAAGGATCAATCGCTCTCGCCAAGAACCCGGAGTTCCATAAGAGAACAAAACACATCGACATACGCTACCATTTTGTGCGTGAGAAGGTGGAATCAGGTGAAGTCGTTTTGGAGTATTGCCCGACTCAAGATATGCTGGCAGACATGATGACCAAGCCGATCGCCGCTGTACAATTTGAAAACATTCGCGATCGACTTGGGATCCAAGGTGCCGCAGCTAACGAGTCGAGAGGGAGTGTTGAAAAGACAGCGGCTGTAAAGAAGACACCTCGTCAAGCTGCGTCAAGTGTTGAAGCAAGTGGAAGACCAAGCCTCGCTATACCGGTGGGTACCGGTATGTACCAGTAAGGGCGAAGTCAGGAAATGACGTCACTGGATGACGTCATTGCATGACGTCAGTGGGTGACGTCAGTGGGTGACGTCACTGGATGACGTCACTGCGAATAATAGGCTTAGAGGTAGTATTCAAAGTTGCGAACTAAGTACCTATTGAGGGTTACCGGTACAATCCGAACCTAGCGCGTAGTTCTTACGAGATAGTTTTTACATCGGTAATTACCTCAGAGATGATTAGACGCGTAGGATGATTGGACGCGTGTAAATCAGGTTGATTAGATGCACCATGTGATTGGATGCAGTCTAGGGTAGGCAGAAGTTAAGACCTATAAATCAATCACTTTCGAATCCTCCCTCAAGTGAGCAAGTGTTCTCTGCTTCGTTCTCTCCGGTCTCTCCGCTTCGTTTTCTCTTCGCCTCGCGCTCAAGTTACAACAGGTTATGAGCCCAAGCGCCATGTCGTCCAACAACACCTCGGCCAGTGTCTCCATCGATAAGTTCGATGGGGACAACTACTCAACCTGGTGTCGCTACATGCGCGGCGTGTTTCTGACGAAGTCAGTCTGGTACGTCGTGAACCGCGAAACGTCTCCAACCTTCACCGACACGCGAGCTTCCGACGAGTACGTCAAGGCGAGCAACATCGCGTTCGGGTTGATGTTGCTCCACATGGACGCCGACTACCACCATGTGGTCGACAACTGTGAAGAAGCATGGACAGCGTGGTCGCGGTTGAAGATGCTCTATGGTGGGTCGCAGAAGGCGGGACGCATCTACCTCAAGCGCCAGCTGTTCAGCATCAAGATGGCGGAAGGTGCCAACGTCTTGCACCATTGCAACGAAGTCTTGAACATCGGCGCCAAGCTCAGCAGCATCGGTGCCAAGATGGAAGACGAAGACATTGCGATCTGCTTGCTGCTCAGTCTCCCGAAGAGTTTCGAGAACGTGGTTCTGAACTTGGAGATGAGCAATGCAGAGCTGCGCACGCAAGATGTGGTCAAGGTGCTGACTAACGAGCACATCAAGCGACAAGGCGAGAAGATGACAACGGCAACGACAACGGTGAAGACTGAAGATGCGACAAAGGCATTCAGTACCGAGCGCAAGCCCTACCAATGCACATACTGCGGCAAGGTGGGGCACACGGCAGAGCGTTGCTGGACGAAGCAAAAGGATGAAAGTCGAGGAGCCCAACGCGGCGGCAATGGTCGTGGACGCGGGGCAAACAATGTCCAGTGGCGACATTATGATGAAGGCAACAGCTACGATCGAGTGGCGTTTGCAGTTTCGTTCGAATGCGGAGTTTCAACGAACAAGAATGGACCAGGAATGTGGGCCGTTGACAGCGGGGCAACACATCACATCTGCCACGACAAGTTCAAGTTTGCAAGCTTGGTCGAAGGCAATGATGGCGAGATCCTGGTGGCTGATGGCAACAAGGCGGCCATCAAAGGTGTGGGGACCATCGTGGAAAAGGTGATTCTGCCAAACGGGGAAGAGCGCGAGATCGAGATCAAGAACGCGCTCTATGTGCCCAGCATGAGCAAAAATCTGCTCTCGGTGCCGCAGATTAACAAGCACGGCAACTTCCAAGTGGTGTTTGACGGGGATACGATGTACGTCGCTCGCAAGGATTCCAATCAAGTGGTGGCAGCTGCGGATCTTGTAGACGGACTCTACTGGCTTCGCACGACGCAGCGATCGGCCAATGCAACATCACTCAGCAACGCTGTTGATCTACATGCGCGAATGGGCCATGCTCCAGTCGACGTGCTTCGCAGGATGGTGACAAGCCACATGATCAAGGACGCTCACATCCCTTCCAAGCCGAATGGATCAAGTGTGTGTCGAGGATGCCAAGAAGGGAAGATGGTCCAAAAACCATTCCCGAGCAACCGTGACAAGCGCACCTACAACACCTTCGAGATGCTCCACTTCGACATCTGCGGACCCATGGAAGAAAAATCTCTGGGTGGCAGCAAGTATCTGCTGCTGATCGTGGATGAAGCCAGCGGATGCATGAAGGGTTTTTGTCTGCATTACAAGTCAGAGAGCGAAGAGTGCATCAAGAAGTACATCACGATGATACAGACGCAGTTCAACAAGAAGGTCAAATTTGTGCGACACGATGGAGCCCGCGAGTTTGCGACGAACTCGCTTCAAGATTTCTACGAAGTCGAAGGCATCGAGCAACAAACCACGGTGCCATACGCACATCAAGCCAATGGAACTGCTGAACGCGCGATTCGAACTATTGTCACGATTGGTCGTAGCATGCTCCATCATGCCAAGCTGAACAAGTGCTTCTGGGCTGAAGCGGCAATGACGGCCGTCTATGTGAAGAACCGTTTGCCGTCACCCAAGATTCCACACAAGACACCGTTCGAGATTGTCTACAGTTCTAAGCCAAGTGTCAAGCACATGCGCGTTTTTGGGTGCCAAGCATACATCTTGACCCCGAAGGAGAAACGACTCAAGTGGGATGCCAAGGCCCGGGCTGGATTGTTTTTGGGCTACGAAGAAGTGTCCAAGGCGTATCGAGTTTACGACATCGAAGCGGGGCAGGTGATGATAAGTCGCGATGTCAACTTCGATGAGTCGGCCTTTGGAATGTCGATGCTGATTTCCGATGACGATGTTGATGGCCTGGACTTCGAATCGATCGATCTTGATGATGAAGAACCGCGTCCGAGACACTTCAAACAAACAGGAAAGCGCAAGGCCCAACCCAGTCACGACAATGACGACGCAAGCATGCCCCGAGCAGTGCGCCAACGACCCGGATTGGAAGAGTCAAGTGCGCCGGATGACCTCTCTTCACGTCGAGCCAACGAAGATGAAGAAAGGAAGTCGGAGGAACAACATGACACACCGACTTCCTCCGCGTTTTGGCATGCGAGTGCAAACGCCGTCGAAGCAGCGGTCGATTTTTCGGAGCCGTCGACATTTGAAGAAGCAGTGTCTGGCCCGGACCAAGTACACTGGCGCAAGGCAATTGATGCGGAGCTCGATTCGATGAAGCTTCGCGGTGTCTTTCGTGCGGCCAAGTTACCCAACGGACAAAGCGCCATTGGCACAAAGTGGGTCTTCAAGATCAAGCGCAAGGCGGATGGGTCGATCGAGAAATACAAGGCACGACTTGTGGCCAAGGGTTTTCGCCAAAAGTATGGCATCGACTACACGGAGACGTTCTCGCCCGTGGTCAAGTATGTGACGCTGCGAATGGTCATCGCCATTACCAAGCACTTTGGATGGCCCCTCGACCAGCTCGATGTGGTGACTGCGTTCCTGTATGGAGTGATGAAGGAGAAGGTGTTCTGCGCTGTTCCGGAAGGCGTCAAGATGGAAGGTGATTTCGACTGTCTCGAGCTGATCAAGGCGATCTACGGTCTCAAGCAAGCCTCGCGTGTTTGGAACGAGACCTTCGACGAGTTCATACGCTCGATTGGTTTTCAAGCGTCGGGATTCGATCCATGTCTCTACATCATGACTTCGGAAGGCCATTGTGTTTTTGTGCTGGTCTACGTGGACGATGTCTTGGTGACTGGAAGCTCGCTCGAGATGATTGCGCGCACCAAGAACGACCTCAAGACACGCTTCGAGATGACGGACAGCGGCAAGTGTGCCTTTGTTCTTGGGATCGAGTTATTGGACGGTGAAGATGGCAGCGTGACTATGTGTCAGCGCCGTTATGTCGACGATGTCCTCAAGCGCTTTGGAATGGATGAGTGCAAGGCTGTGGCAAGTCCGGTGGACGTCAGCTCTCGACTGGTTCCAAGCAACTCTGCAAGCAAGGTGGATGTCCCATTCCGTGAAGCAGTGGGTGCTTTGATGCATCTGACGACTGCAACGCGACCGGACATCGCCTATGCTGTAAGCTTTGTGTCACGGTTCATGGAGAAACCCCAAGAAGAACACTGGGTTGCAGTCAAGCGCATCTTCCGCTACCTACAAGGCACCAAGATGCATGGAATCTGCTACAAGCCAAGTGCGAAGATCGACTTTCGTGGCTATTCAGATGCAGACTGGGCCGGTGACCTTGCTGATCGCAAATCGACGTCCGGCTACGTCTTCATGCTATTGGGTGCTCCGGTGAGTTGGGGCAGCAAGAAACAGCCAAGTGTGTCGCTGTCTACAAGCGAAGCGGAGTACATCGCGCTCAGCCTGGCGATCCAAGAAGGCAAGTGGATCAATCGCTTGCTGTGCGAGATCATGGCGGCTGCAAACGAAGAAGGACCCGAGCTCGTCATCCGTGAAGACAACCAGTCGTGCATCAAGATGACGAAGAATCCGGTCAACCACGGCCGCGCTAAACACATCGACATCAAGTACCATCACATCCGTGATGAAGTCAAGCGCGGCGAAGTGAAGCTTGAATACTGCGAGACGACGTTGATGTTGGCGGACATCATGACGAAGGGACTTCACGGACCGCGTCACAAGGACTTGACGGCGGCGCTTGGCATCCGTGCGTGTTCGGATTGAGGGGGCGTATTGAGGGTTACCGGTACAATCCGAACCTAGCGCGTAGTTCTTACGAGATAGTTTTTACATCGGTAATTACCTCAGAGATGATTAGACGCGTAGGATGATTGGACGCGTGTAAATCAGGTTGATTAGATGCACCATGTGATTGGATGCAGTCTAGGGTAGGCAGAAGTTAAGACCTATAAATCAATCACTTTCGAATCCTCCCTCAAGTGAGCAAGTGTTCTCTGCTTCGTTCTCTCCGGTCTCTCCGCTTCGTTTTCTCTTCGCCTCGCGCTCAAGTTACAACAGTACCTATTATAAATATATATTCACTTTGCGTTTTGCACTCGGACCAAGAAGTCTAAAGTTCATCACAGATTGGCTCGAGCGCTTGACCGTCGCTTCGCTTGGTGCGTTTCAAAGTCATCCGGTGCACTTGCTTCTTCGAACCCGGTTCCACGGCGCTCAGGAAGTGTCCGTTGCAGAGCTTGTTCTTGGCTGTTTGAACGGCTTTTGCGTTTTCCAGTTTTCTTGAACTGCATAGGGTGAGGCTCATCGCTGATGTTCATCGATTCGACATCCAGCGCAGTGTCATCAACAATTTCTTGTGGTAGCGTCGGCGAGAAACCAAACGTTGATTCGTCGAATGTGACATCGCGAGATATCACCACTTGATCCGCTTCAATGTCGTAAACGCGATATGCCTTTGACACTTCTTCGTACCCCATGAATTGTCCTTCACGAGCCTTTGGATCCCATTTCGATCTCTTTTCCTTAGGGGTCAGCACAAACGTTCGGCAGCCGAAAACCCGCATGTGCTTCACACTTGGTCGAAATCCGTTGACGATCTCGAACGGGGTTTGATCTTGGCACTTGGGCGATGGTAGGCGATTCTTGATGTAGATCGCCGTCATTGCTGCTTCAACTCAAAAAAACTTGTCCAGCTTGGCGTAGTAAAGCATGCTGCGCCCGATCGTCACAATGGTCCGAATTGCCCGTTCCGCCGTGCCGTTGGTCTGATGCGCATATGGAACGGTAACTTGCTGCTCGATTCGTTGATCATCGTAAAATGCCTTGAGCGAATTTGCCGCGGATTCGCGTGCACCATCGTGGCGAACGAACTTGACCTTGTAGTCAAACTGCGTCTGTACTGCCACGATGTACTTCTTGATGCACTCTTCGCTGTCAGACGTGGCGCGCAGACTGAAACCCTTCATGCATCCGCTGCCTTCATCTACGGTCAGTAGCAAGTACTTGCTTCCACCTAGCGAGTCGACTTCCATTGGACCACAAGAGTCGATGTGCTTGGCCCGACCATGGTTCACAGGATTCTTCGTCATCTTGATGCACGATTGGTTGTCTTCCATGATCTTGAGCTCGGGTCCAGACTTGTCCTCTGCGGCATCCAGAATCTCGCATGGCAATCGATGCACCCACTTGCCTTCTTGAATAGCCAGACTTAATGCAATGCACTCAGCTTCACTTGTTGACAGCGACACACTTGACTGCTTTTTGCTTCCCCAGCTCACCGGATCACCCATCAGGATGAGCGCATATCTCGAAGTCGACTTGCGGTCTGCATGGTCGCCGGCCCAGTCTGCATCCGAGTAGCCGCAGAAGTCTATCTTGTCATCAGACTTGAAACAGATGCCGTCCGACTTAGTCCCTTGTAAGTATCGCAAAATGCGCTTGACCGCCATCCAATGCTCGACTTGGAGGTTTTCCATGAAGCGCGAAACGTAACTCACAGCAAAGGCAATGTCCGGTCGTGCCGCGGTCATCAAGTGCATTAAAGCGCCTACTGCTTCACAAAACGGGGCGTCAATTTTGGTTACTGCACTGCTTGGTATGAGTCAAGAACTGATGTCTGTTGGGCTGGTGACGGCTTTGCAGTCGGTCATGCCAAAACGCTTGAGAACATCTTCCACGTAGCGTCGCTGGCACATCGTCACGCTACCGTTGTCGTTGTCCACCAGCTCGATGCCCAACACGAATGCGCACTTGCCGCTGTCAGTCATTTCGAAACGCGCCTTCAAGCCACTCTTGGTGCGCATAATCAGTTCGGTCGAGCTGCCAGTCACCAACACATCATCGACGTATACCAGCAAAAGCACGCACTCGCCACTTGTAATCTTGAGATAAAGACACGGGTCAAAATGAGATACTTGAAATCCAATGGAGCAGACGAACTCATAGAAATTTCCTTCCATACGCGCGATGCTTGTTTTAGTCCGTAGATCGCCTTCAACAATTCGAAGCAGTCAAAGTCTTCATCAACTTCGACCCCTTCTGGGATCGCGCAGAATACCTTTTCCTTCATCTCTTCGCATAGCAAAGCTGTCACCACGTCCAGTAGGTCCAGTGTGTTGAAAAGACAGCGGCTGTGAAGAAGACACCTCGTCAAGCTGCGTCAAGTGTTGAAGCAAGTGGAAGACCAAGCTTCGCTATACCGGTGGGTACCGGTATGTACCAGTAAGGGCGAAGTCAGGAAATGACGTCACTGGATGACGTCATTGCATGACGTCAGTGGGTGACGTCAGTGGGTGACGTCACTGGATGACGTCACTGCGAATAATAGGCTTAGAGGTAGTATTCAAAGTTGCGAACTAAGTACCTATTATAAACATATATTCACTTTGCGTTTTGCACTCGGACCAAGAAGTCTAAAGTTCATCAGGTTATGAGCCCAAGTTCGTCAGACTCTGAAACCGCCAACAATTCAAGCTTAGCTGCCATGGACGCCTCCTCCCTCCGCATCTCCAAGTTCGATGGAACTAACTTCCACGCCTGGAAGTTCAAGATGCAGATGGTGCTGGAGGAACGGGACCTATGGGAGGTCGTCAGCGGTGAGATCAAGGCGGAACAGTGCGAGACTCAGTTGGACCAAGCGACGTACAAGAGGAAGTCAAGAAAGGCGATGGCAGTGATCTGTCTAGCCATGGAAGATTCCCAGCTACCGTTGGTCCGGTCGGCAAGTGGTGCATGCGACGCATGGTCAAGGTTGGAAGACCACTTCGAGAAGAAGAGTCTTGCCAACAAGCTGTTCTTGCGCCGTCGCTTCTTCACGACAATGATGGAAGAAGGCGACGATGTGCTCGAACACATCAACAAGCTCAAGACGCTGGCGGAACAGCTAGAAGCGGTGGGGGCTCCAGTCTGCGAGGACGATCTGGTGATCACACTCCTCGGCAGCCTGAGTGACTCGTATCAATTCTTGATCACAGCTTTGGAGTCGCGCTCAGACACTCTTAGCTGGGAGCTCGTGACGTCTCGACTGCTTCATGAAGAAATGAAGCGGAAGGAGCAAGGAAGTAAAGGTGATGAAGCTTCGCAAGGTCAAGCGTTCATCACAAGGGACAATCAGCGCAAAGGGCGACCAGTGAAGAAGTCCTGGCCGTGCCACAATTGCGGAAAGATTGGTCACTGGATGGCGGAGTGCCCCTCGCGCATCCAAGAAAACACGGAGAGACACCGGCCACAGCGTGCTCAAGACAGCGGCGACCGCTATCGATCACAACGTGCAAACGTCGCTCAAGAAGAAGACTCGGGCGACTACCTCTTTTCGATCGGTGAAACGACATCTGCGAAATCGAGCGACATCTGGCTGGTCGACTCCGGGGCGACGCAGCACATGACGTGCTCCAAGAAGTTCATGCGGAACTACAAGGGGTTTGACGCTGTGGATGTCCATCTCGCGGATGATGGAATCGTCCAAGCAATCGGCAGTGGGGACATTGTCATGTCGATGAAGACACCCCAAGGGATGAAGAAAGGTGTGCTCACAAACGTGTGGCACATCCCAAAGTTATCCAGAAACCTGTTCTCGGTCGGCCGCTTCACCAAGGATGTCGGCCCAGTGACGTTCACGAAGGATGGGTGCTATGGAGAAGCGAAAGGGACCAAGTGGAAAATTGGTGCCCGTGAAGGTAAAGGACTGTTCAAGCTGCAAATGACTCCAGTGGCGCCGGAACAAGCAAATGCAGCCAAGTCGTCGGGATGTCAAGGGGGCACCAAGTCGTACCTCTGGCACCTTCGGCTTGGCCACATAGGTCACGATGGACTCAATTGCATCGTGACGAAGAACATTGGAATTGGCATCGACATATCTTCGGTGAAGAAGTGGGACGTGTGTGAAGGTTGTGCTCTGGGAAAACAGACTCGAGTGCGCTTCCAATCAAACACTACAGCTCGCACCTCCAAACTCCTCGAAGTGATTCACAGCGACGTATGCGGACCGATGTCGATGGCAACTTTCAGTGGAAAACGGTACTTCGTGACATTCATTGATGACAAGTCAAGATACTGTGTCGTCTATCTGCTCAAGAGCAAATCTGAAGTTGCGGCGAAGTTCATGGAATACGCTGCGATGGCCGAAACGCAAACCGGAAAGCGCGTGAAGTACCTTCAAAGCGACAATGGGGGGTGAATACAAGTCCGACAAGCTGGCACGATTCTGCGCGGAACGGGGAATACAACAAAGGTTCACACCCCCATATACTCCTCAGCTAAACGGAGTAGCTGAGAGAATGAATCGCACGCTGGTCGAGTGTGCGCGTTGCATGATGGAACACGCTGGACTGGGAAAGAGCTACTGGGGTGAAGCAGTGATGACGGCGATGTTTCTTCGAAACCGCTGTCCAACACGTGCCATTCACCAAGACAAGTCTCCATATCAAGTGTGGACGATGAAGAAACCGATTCTGGCCAACCTTAAAGTGTTTGGATGCCACGCGTATGTTCAAGTGCCTCAAGACAAACGCGCGAAGTTCGACTCCAAGTCATCACTCTGTTGTTTCCTGGGGTACGCCGAACACCAGAAGTCATATCGATTCGAGGAAGTATCAACAGGAGCGATCAAGATCAGTCGCGATGCCACGTTCATGGAAGACAAGTTTGATGAAGGTCCACGCAACTACAACGATGATTCAAGTGCGGTTGAGTTCGACAATCAAGACGACGACGAAGAAAAAGAAGAAGGCAAAACTGACGACGACATGGACTCGAGCGACGATGACAACGAAGACACCAGGTCTTCGAAGAGCAACATCAAGAGACACACGCGCACTCAATCACTTGAGAAAGCTACCGTCATTCCAAGTCCCAAGCGAAGAACGTACAGAGGTCCGTCGCTTGAGCATGTGTCAGCGGCTGCAATGGATTTTGAAGCAGCCTACATCGTTGATTCAGTGGGGGAAACGCCGACTACATTCAAGTCGGCGATGGAATCAAGCGACTCCGGCAAGTGGAAAGAAGCGTGTGACTCGGAGTTCGACTCGCTTCAGAGAAACGACACGTGGGAAATCGTGCCTCTTCCGAAAGGTCGCAAGGCCATCGGGTGCCGATGGGTTTTTCGTGTAAAGGAGAATCAAGATGGCGAAGTTGAACGTTTCAAGGCAAGACTTGTGGCCAAAGGATTCTCACAGAAATTCGGAGTTGACTATGAAGAAACTTTCGCACCGGTGGCCAAGTTCACATCGATTCGTGTGGTGCTCAGTATGGCGGCCAAGTACGGCCTAATGCTACATCAGATGGACGTCAAGACAGCGTTTCTTAACGGCTCCCTCAACGAAGACATCTACATGGACCAGCCGGACGGATACCTGGATGCAACACAGCCGGACTATGTGTGCAAGCTAAAGAGATCACTCTACGGCTTGAAGCAATCGCCTCGCATGTGGAACCAAACAATCGATGGGTTCATGATCAAGATGGGATTCAAGAAGTGCGAATCGGACCACTGCATCTACATCAAGCGAGACGACCAAGACATGATTCTCGTGGTGCTCTACGTCGATGATCTCATCCTGGCCAGCAGCAACAACGAACTCCTCAAGTCAACCAAGATGGCGCTGAGCAAACGCTTCGAAATGACGGATCTCGGTGAGCTCGATTACTTTCTCGGCATGGAGATCAAGAACGACCGTAAGACGGGAATGGTGACTGTACAACAAACCAAGTTCCTCAAGTCCGTGTTAACCAAGTTCGGAATGGATAACAGCAAGCCAGTGAAGACGCCTCAAGATCCCGGCCTGAAGCTAACCAAGAACATGTGTGAACAAGAATGCAAGCACGAAGACACCATGTGCAACGTGCCATATCGAAGTGCTGTCGGAGGCATCATGTATCTCATGGTCGCCACACGTCCGGATCTAGCTGCTGCAGTGGGATCATTATCCCAGTTCTCGTCCGACCCATGCCCGACTCACTGGCAAGCTTTGAAGCGTGTGCTGAGATACCTGCAAGCAACGCCCAATCATGGTCTTGAGTTTACACGTGAAGAAGGAAGCCGTATCTGCGGGTACACCGACGCAGACTGGGCCGGCGACATTGAGTCAAGACGAAGTACAAGCGGCTATGTGTTCATGATGAGCGGAGGATGCATCAGCTGGAAAAGCCAGAAACAACGGACGGTCGCGCTATCTTCAACAGAAGCAGAATACATGGCGCTTTCCGAAGCAACCAAAGAAGCAGTATGGCTCAAAGTGCTTTTGGGGGAACTTGGTGAGATGACAAGCGACGAAGCGATCAAGATGTATGAAGACAACCAAGGATCAATCGCTCTCGCCAAGAACCCGGAGTTCCATAAGAGAACAAAACACATCGACATACGCTACCATTTTGTGCGTGAGAAGGTGGAATCAGGTGAAGTCGTTTTGGAGTATTGCCCGACTCAAGATATGCTGGCAGACATGATGACCAAGCCGATCGCCGCTGTACAATTTGAAAACATTCGCGATCGACTTGGGATCCAAGGTGCCGCAGCTAACGAGTCGAGAGGGAGTGTTGAAAAGACAGCGGCTGTGAAGAAGACACCTCGTCAAGCTGCGTCAAGTGTTGAAGCAAGTGGAAGACCAAGCTTCGCTATACCGGTGGGTACCGGTATGTACCAGTAAGGGCGAAGTCAGGAAATGACGTCACTGGATGACGTCACTGCGAATAATAGGCTTAGAGGTAGTATTCAAAGTTGCGAACTAAGTACCTATTATAAATATATATTCACTTTGCGTTTTGCACTCGGACCAAGAAGTCTAAAGTTCATCATGGGTCGATCGAGAAATACAAGGCACGACTTGTGGCCAAGGGTTTTCGCCAAAAGTATGGCATCGACTACACGGAGACGTTCTCGCCCGTGGTCAAGTATGTGACGCTGCGAATGGTCATCGCCATTACCAAGCACTTTGGATGGCCCCTCGACCAGCTCGATGTGGTGACTGCGTTCCTGTATGTAGTGATGAAGGAGAAGGTGTTCTGCGCTGTTCCGGAAGGCGTCAAGATGAAAGGTGATTTCGACTGTCTCGAGCTGATCAAGGCGATCTACGGTCTCAAGCAAGCCTCGCGTGTTTGGAACGAGACCTTCGACGAGTTCATACGCTCGATTGGTTTTCAAGCGTCGGGATTCGATCCATGTCTCTACATCATGACTTCAGAAGGCCATTGTGTTTTTGTGCTGGTCTACGTGGACGATGTCTTGGTGACTGGAAGCTCGCTCGAGATGATTGCGCGCACCAAGAACGACCTCAAGACACGCTTCGAGATGACGGACAGCGGCAAGTGTGCCTTTGTTCTTGGGATCGAGTTATTGGACGGTGAAGATGGCAGCGTGACTATGTGTCAGCGCCGTTATGTCGACGATGTCCTCAAGCGCTTTGGAATGGATGAGTGCAAGGCTGTGGCAAGTCCGGTGGACGTCAGCTCTCGACTGGTTCCAAGCAACTCTGCAAGCAAGGTGGATGTCCCATTCCGTGAAGCAGTGGGTGCTTTGATGCATCTGACGACTGCAACGCGACCGGACATCGCCTATGCTGTAAGCGTTGTGTCACGGTTCATGGAGAAACCCCAAGAAGAACACTGGGTTGCAGTCAAGCGCATCTTCCGCTACCTACAAGGCACCAAGATGCATGGAATCTGCTACAAGCCAAGTGCGAAGATCGACTTTCGTGGCTATTCAGATGCAGACTGGGCCGGTGACCTTGCTGATCGCAAATCGACGTCCGGCTACGTCTTCATGCTATTGGGTGCTCCGGTGAGTTGGGGCAGCAAGAAACAGCCAAGTGTGTCACTGTCTACAAGCGAAGCGGAGTACATCGCGCTCAGCCTGGCGATCCAAGAAGGCAAGTGGATCAATCGCTTGCTGTGCGAGATCATGGCGGCTGCAAACGAAGAAGGACCCGAGCTCGTCATCCGTGAAGACAACCAGTCGTGCATCAAGATGACGAAGAATCCGGTCAACCACGGCCGCGCTAAACACATCAACATCAAGTACCATCACATCCGTGATGAAGTCAAGCGCGGCGAAGTGAAGCTTGAATACTGCGAGACGACGTTGATGTTGGCGGACATCATGACGAAGGGACTTCACGGACCGCGTCACAAGGACTTGACGGCGGCGCTTGGCATCCGTGCGTGTTCGGATTGAGGGGGCGTATTGAGGGTTACCGGTACAATCCGAACCTAGCGCGTAGTTCTTACGAGATAGTTTTTACATCGGTAATTACCTCAGAGATGATTAGACGCGTAGGATGATTGGACGCGTGTAAATCAGGTTGATTAGATGCATCATGTGATTGGATGCAGTCTAGGGTAGGCAGAAGTTAAGACCTATAAATCAATCACTTTCGAATCCTCCCTCAAGTGAGCAAGTGTTCTCTGCTTCGTTCTCTCCGGTCTCTCCGCTTCGTTTTCTCTTCGCCTCGCGCTCAAGTTACAACAGTTTGGAGATGCTGTTGGTGGACCGGATCAAGTGCATTGGCGTAAGGCAATCTGTGCCGAGTTGGACTCGATGAAACTTCGTGGCGTGCTTCGAGCGCCCAAACAGCCAGCTGGACAGCATACCATTGGCACCAAGTGGGTATTCAATATCAAGCGGATAGCTGATGGATCCATCGAGAAATACAAGGCGCGTCTCGTGGCAAAAGGGTTCAAGCAGAAATATGGCATCGACTACACGGAGACGTTTTTCCGGTAGTCAAGTACGTGACGCTGCGCATGGTAGTTGCAATCACGAAGTACTTTGACTGGACACTGGACCTACTGGACGTGGTGACAGCTTTGCTATGCGGAGAGATGAAGGAAAAGGTATTCTGCGCGATCCCAGAAGGGGTCGAAGTTGATGAAGACTTTGACTGCTTCGAATAGTTGAAGGCGATCTACGGACTAAAACAAGCATCGCGCGCAAGGAATGAGACTTTCCATGAGTTCGTCTGCTCCATTGGATTTCAAGTATCTCATTTTGACCCGTGTCTTTATCTCAAGATTACAAGTGGCGAGTGCGTGCTTTTGCTGGTATACGTCGATGATGTGTTGGTGACTGGCAGCTCGACCGAACTGATTATGCGTACCAAGAGTGACTTGAAGGCGCGTTTCGAAATGACTGACAGCGGCAAGTGCGCATTCGTGTTGGGCATCGAGCTGGTGGACAACGACAACGGTAGCGTGACGATGTGCCAGTGACGCTACGTGGAAGATGTTCTCAAGCGTTTTGGCATGAGCGACTGCAAAGCCGTCACCAGCCCAACAGACATCAGTTCTTGACTCATACCAAGCAGTGCAGTAACCAAAATCGACGCCCCGTTTTGTGAAGCAGTAGGCGCTTTAATGCACTTGATGACCGCGACACGACCGGACATTGCATTTGCTGTGAGTTACGTTTCCATAATTACGGTGAGCTCTTAGTTGGCGGTCATCGGTTTCCGACCATTATTGGTAACCATGACCGTCCAATCCGAACCGCCTGTTCAGCTTTGTATTTACGACGTAGTTCTTACGGTAATTAACACAGTTGATTAGACGCGTGATGAACTTTAGACTTCTTGGTCCGAGTGCAAAACGCAAAGTGAATATATATTTATAATAGGTACTTAGTTCGCAACTTTGAATACTACCTCTAAGCCTATTATTCGCAGTGACGTCATCCAGTGACGTCACCCACTGACGTCACCCACTGACGTCATGCAATGACGTCATCCAGTGACGTCATTTCCTGACTTCGCCCTTACTGGTACATACCGGTACCCACCGGTATAGCGAGGCTTGGTCTTCCACTTGCTTCAACACTTGACGCAGCTTGACGAGGTGTCTTCTTCACAGCCGCTGTCTTTTCAACACTCCCTCTCGACTCGTTAGCTGCGGCACCTTGGATCCCAAGTCGATCGCGAATGTTTTCAAATTGTACAGCGGCGATCGGCTTGGTCATCATGTCTGCCAGCATATCTTGAGTCGGGCAATACTCCAAAACGACTTCACCTGATTCCACCTTCTCACGCACAAAATGGTAGCGTATGTCGATGTGTTTTGTTCTCTTATGGAACTCCGGGTTCTTGGCGAGAGCGATTGATCCTTGGTTGTCTTCATACATCTTGATCGCTTCGTCGCTTGTCATCTCACCAAGTTCCCCCAAAAGCACTTTGAGCCATACTGCTTCTTTGGTTGCTTCGGAAAGCGCCATGTATTCTGCTTCTGTTGAAGATAGCGCGACCGTCCGTTGTTTCTGGCTTTTCCAGCTGATGCATCCTCCGCTCATCATGAACACATAGCCGCTTGTACTTCGTCTTGACTCAATGTCGCCGGCCCAGTCTGCGTCGGTGTACCCGCAGATACGGCTTCCTTCTTCACGTGTAAACTCAAGACCATGATTGGGCGTTGCTTGCAGGTATCTCAGCACACGCTTCAAAGCTTGCCAGTGAGTCGGGCATGGGTCGGACGAGAACTGGGATAATGATCCCACTGCAGCAGCTAGATCCGGACGTGTGGCGACCATGAGATACATGATGCCTCCGACAGCACTTCGATATGGCACGTTGCACATGGTGTCTTCGTGCTTGCATTCTTGTTCACACATGTTCTTGGTTAGCTTCAGGCCGGGATCTTGAGGCGTCTTCACTGGCTTGCTGTTATCCATTCCGAACTTGGTTAACACGGACTTGAGGAACTTGGTTTGTTGTACAGTCACCATTCCCGTCTTACGGTCGTTCTTGATCTCCATGCCGAGAAAGTAATCGAGCTCACCGAGATCCGTCATTTCGAAGCGTTTGCTCAGCGCCATCTTGGTTGACTTGAGGAGTTCGTTGTTGCTGCTGGCCAGGATGAGATCATCGACGTAGAGTACCACGAGAATCATGTCTTGGTCGTCTCGCTTGATGTAGATGCAGTGGTCCGATTCGCACTTCTTGAATCCCATCTTGATCATGAACCCATCGATTGTTTGGTTCCACATGCGAGGCGATTGCTTCAAGCCGTAGAGTGATCTCTTTAGCTTGCACACATAGTCCGGCTGTGTTGCATCCAGGTATCCGTCCGGCTGGTCCATGTAGATGTCTTCGTTGAGGGAGCCGTTAAGAAACGCTGTCTTGACGTCCATCTGATGTAGCATTAGGCCGTACTTAGCCGCCATACTGAGCACCACACGAATCGATGTGAACTTGGCCACCGGTGCGAAAGTTTCTTCATAGTCAACTCCGAATTTCTGTGAGAATCCTTTGGCCACAAGTCTTGCCTTGAAACGTTCAACTTCGCCATCTTGATTCTCCTTTACACGAAAAACCCATCGGCACCCGATGGCCTTGCGACCTTTCGGAAGAGGCACGATTTCCCACGTGTCGTTTCTCTGAAGCGAGTCGAACTCCGAGTCACACGCTTCTTTCCACTTGCCGGAGTCGCTTGATTCCATCGCCGACTTGAATGTAGTCGGCGTTTCCCCCACTGAATCAACGATGTAGGCTGCTTCAAAATCCATTGCAGCCGCTGACACATGCTCAAGCGACGGACCTCTGTATGTTCTTCGCTTGGGACTTGGAATGACGGTAGCTTTCTCAAGTGATTGAGTGCGCGTGTGTCTCTTGATGTTGCTCTTCGAAGACCTGGTGTCTTCGTTGTCATCGTCGCTCGAGTCCATGTC